GTCAGATATAAAAAGAGGGAAAACACCCAACCTCATAAACATGAGGTAAATAAATTTTTTACTCAAAACTCTGTGGCTCTGTTCCCAACATAACAACAGGAATCCCCAGATAATACTGACCTGACTATTAAATGATGAAAACAGGAACACTGCAGGATGAAGCATAAGTACTGAGACCAGAATCAACTTGCTTCATGACAACTAGAGAAGCTTCCAGGGTTTAACTTATCCGACATGAATCTGTCAGTTTTGTCAGCTAGCTAGACAAACTCCCAGAATTTACTAATATCCGGTATGAATCAACTAGCAGCTCTTGGTAGTAGAATCTTCAACAAAGAAACAAAAACTAAAAAAAAAGCAGAAGAGAAGGAGACATCCATCTCCTGAGGGCACTCAGTGAAACTGGCAGGTGGGTGGGTTAGGTCTTTAAATTGACAGGCTTTTAATTAGTTTGACTAGTTTCCATTTCTCCTAGAGGCAGCAGCATAACCCTACGTCTCAGAATTCTTCAGAGCTGTGTCCCTCAATGAACGATAGAGAAATATCCCAATACTTAAAGCCAGTGTGGGACACTGCAGCTGTCATTTGGTGGTTCTATAGTTCGAAATCTGAGCGATCATGTGACCGCTGATCACTCAACTCATGGTCTTCTCCCTGCAGAGAGCAGGGACTGGCAGTCACTGCTTCCCACATGAATTCCCCTCTCCCTGGGGAGGTTAGGGGGTACAGCTGGCTCTGGCTCTAGAGGTAGAGGCAGCTGTCAATCAGGCTGCAGAGTGGATCCTGACAATACTGTCGAGATCCCTCCCAGCTGCAGCACAGCTCTGTGCTATTAGCATATAGCCGCAGTAGCCCACTATATGCTAAGTTTGGGCATCAGGAGTACATTTTAAAATGTACTCATGTGACCCAAAGGAGAACGAAAGCCAAAAAAAAAAAGTTTGGCTTCAGTTCTTTTTTAAGCAAAGAGGGTTGGACCTCTAGTAGACTGGAAATACGGAGAAATATACACCAAGCTTTTTCACATTCAGTTTGATGCTCCTTTTTGTTTTAGAGATTCACAAAAAATATAGGATACACGTAAATTTCGGCAGCCAAAACATATATCGGCTAAAAATGGCACTTTGGGCAAAAGTACAATTTTTAGAACAAAATTGCGGTGCATCCATGGTTTTTCTCCTCCACCGATGGCTGCTGCTCTATGTCCACTCTGACACAGAGCAGTGTCCAGTGGTGAGGAGAGAAACCTTCGGGGAGGAGAGCACTGTGAGCGTGTCACTGGAGGCCGAGCTCTCCTCCTGCACAGCCCTGCTCGGCCTCCCGTGACAGATCAGGATGGAGAGCTGTGTGGGGGAGGAGACAGCTATAAGCTGTCACAGGAGGCCAAGCCGGCGGTACAGGGGAAGAGTCAGTTGTCAGCCATGCCACATGTGGCTGAGCTCTCCCCGCACCGCCCGCTCAGCCTTCTGCAACAGCGAGTCAAGATGGAGAGCGGAGAAATATTGAGGGAAATTTATCAAAACTGGAGCAGACAAAATCTGGAGCAGCTGTGCATGGTAACCAATCAGCTCCTTTGTCTAATTTTCAAATCTTAACTGGCCGAACTGAAGAGAAAAGCTGATTGGTTGCCATGCACAGCTGCTCCAGATTTTGATAAACTCCCCCCAGTATGTTTACTGTGTCCTCAATTATAAACAGGAAGTGCCCTTTATCACCTCCTGTTCATTCATGATTGTGGACATAGTAACTCATACTATATCCACAGTTTATGAATGGACTGGAATATAGAGACTTCCTGTTCATTCATAACAGGGGCTGCAGAAAAAGAGATTGAGGACTCTGTGTCCTCATTCTCTTTTTCTATTTCAAAAGGGAAATATCAGGGGTCTGTTTAAACCCCTAATATTTCCCCAAAGCCCCTAAAAGTTAAAATATTGAATAAAAATAAATCAAATTTAAAAAAATATATATATTTTACATTTTTTGAAAAAGTTAGGGTCATGGAGTTCCCGCTTTATACTCCACACTGAGAAAGCTGGCAGAATTACTGCAAAAGAAACCTGTTTATGCTTTCTTCTGAAAAGGAAAAAACTGATTAAGATATTTCATACCCCAAATGCAGGATCAAAGAACAGCAAGGAAAGCAAACCAATACCCTAAAGGTTATAGGGTAAACAAGTGGCCACATTTCCTAATTTCTGAAAAAGAATTCACACAGACACAATACATTTCTTTACAAAACTTTCTTAGAAAATAAAAGAAAAAAAAAATGGGAGAATCAAAGTTATACAATCTCATACACCAATGTTCACATTTAAGATTTGCATCTTGGTTCTTTGGAAGGGTGCAAGAAAAGTGACAGAAAACCTTGGACCCTTTTCATTTAAGTCCTGTCTTATACCTGATGGTTACTTCGAAAAGAAGTTACTGTGCAAGAAGCAAGCCCCCTTTTGCAGCAGGGTACCTGCAATTATTACTGCCGATAGACACTCATTGCTAAAGTTCCCATTAATGATTAAACCTAAAACAATGGGGTGTGTGTGTGTGTGTGGGGGCGGGGTACATTTAAACCAAGAGGACTCAAAATCTACCTTTAAGATCAAATGGACTACAACCCATATCATTTCATCAGTCCTCTGATTGATGACAGGAGATGTAGCTCATCTACTGACGATTACCCTTCTTTTGCTAAAACTGACCTTACTCTGTACAGAAAAATATACACAGCTGTAGAATGTTACATGTATTAGAACACAATGATATAAATTACACTTTAAAATATTACCATTTGTGGAACTGTAAACTGATAATCAAGGTATTTAAATGTATTAGGGTTAGTAAAACAGAAAACAATGCTGTTATCTATCCAATGTTTTAAGCAATGAGTTGTTTCCCCTTTCAGCAGTAAAAGGCTTATTATCTGAATACATGATTTTAGGTCTATAAAAATGTCCCACTGTAGAATAATTCATGTTCATATAAAAATAGTTCAGATGCCCAAATTCTCAATTCTTTTTTTTAACCTGATTCAAAGTCCTCTATGAAATCAAGAGGCTGTGAGCGACATCAAGGGATTTTTTTGTAGTTGCACCCACAAAGGCAACAAATGTGAAACCTGTTATTCCAGTTATGGCTTTTATCCCTACTGTGGTTGGTCATCAGTAGATAGGGCTGTACACCCGTTGTGTGAATATATGGACATGTATTTATCATGCACACACACTGATCCTTTCCAATACATGTACAATAAAGTTAAATGTAAGCCTGCAAATTACACTGAGTTGTGCTCCTGTGGATAGTGAATTTAATTTGTCCATACAGTAAATATATAATTTGAGCTCTTCGACCAGTGTCCACTACTCCTCCACATAACTGAATATTTATACACATTAACAGAAAATATGTATCTGGACCTAAAGTAGGCTGTTTCAAGGAGATCTGCAACAAGATCCTAGCAGGCTTAGGCTCAGTTCTGGTACTCCAATAAATGATAACTTGAAACTCGTGGAATACCGGGACTTGAGCAAACAAAGTACATCAAGTTATGTCTTCTGGAAAATAAAATGCGATTCCTGTGAAAATAAAAGAGTGTATTTTGACATGTCCGATCATAGAAAGATCTAAGTAGTCCAATGCTTCAGTTGATTTTCTGGATCAATCCATAACAAGGCCTTGTGCATAAGATGGCTTATGTCCTATATGCCCCTCAACTGGGTTTTGTGGGAGCTTTAATCCTGACTGCCTGGGTTCGTACTTGTAGCTTTGCCTGCAGATTATGGACCTCTGCTGTGCTGGATACAGGTGCTGTAGTCTGACTTCCAGGAGCCTGGAGTTGTTGTGAAGCAGTAGCTGCCATTACATGTTGCTGTAAAAGCTTTTGTTGCACTACATGTGTTGCAGCTGTACTCCCTGGTATCACCTGTACCTGCTGTGTGCCAGCAGCTGTAGCCTGGGTCAAAGTCACAGTCTGTGGCTGAACCTGTGGGTTAAAATCATTACCAATGTAAGTTCAATTAAATAACACCATAAAAGACAATAATACAACTTTTGGTCAATATGTTTGATGGAAACCTGCATTAAAAGAAATATGAAAGTTAATCTCCCAATATGAATGCTTCTTAGCTAGCTGCCATGCCAATCCAATGGCTTCAATACTGACAGACCCAGGACAAGTAAGCAAATCAAGATTATGGATTTTACTAGCTACATGCATGTGTTCCAGGTCAGTGACAAGTACTAATATGGTATAAATAAGCCAATTTGGCGTTTGTCCCTTTTGATGTTTGTAATATTGCATGCAGGAGACGTAGCAAACATGTGGAAAAGAGTTTTCCAGGATGATTATACCCCATATTTAACCCTCTGGCGTCATTAGAAAAAAGCTACAGGCTTTATGCATCATCATATTCTTGTAAAAACTGGAGGTAAGTCTTCTCAGCTACCAGTATCGGAGTCTAAATACGATTGGTGTATGCAACTAAAAATAGTTCCTGTTCTTAGTCAGAACACCTTAATACATGAAGCTGAATGTGTGGTGGAACCCCAATATTGCTCACCACCCAGAGAACGCCACCTCTAGAGTGAAGCAGAGTAGTGGTAGATTCATGCTGTGGGGATGCTTTTCATTATTAGAAGCTGGCAAACTGATCTGTATTGAGTGCAAGATGGAGAGACTCATAGACAAGGCAATTCTACAGAAAAGGCTGTTTCAGTCTTCAAAAGACAAGAGACTGGTGTTAGGGTTCAGCTTCCTGTAGACCACCACCAAACACAGCCAAAGCTTTACTGGCCTTAAAACGGCTCAACCAAAGGAAAGACCTCAATCAACCTACTGCTTAACAAAGCTCTCCATCCAACCAGGAAAAAAAGACAAAGACTGCAGGATCCTGATGTGAAAAAACCCAGTGAAGACTTATCCCCAAAGACTGGCAGCTGTAACTGCAGCCGGTGGTAGTTGTAATAGTAATGCCTGTTTTTATGTTCAACTTTTGTGTCACAATAGTTTTTTTTCCTTTTGCAGTTAAAGTGTTGAGTAAGCTGTGTAAATAAAATGGGAAACATCCTAAATAATTTTTTTTTAAATTGCAGGTTGTAACATTACAAAATGCAGAAAAGTGTATTTCTGACCTGTTGTGAGGCGGACACCACCTGCTGAAGAGTAGCAATTGCAGCTTGTTGCTGAACCACCTGAGGGAGCTTGGCAACCTTTTAATGACAGAGAAAAGAATCAAGAAACAAGCTAAAATAAAACCTGGCCACACAAAGACAACATCGTTGTCAAGTTTGCAGTGTTCTTACATCGGTATTAAAAGAACAGTTTGTTTCATGGAAATGTAGAAGTACTTTAGTTCATGAGGCTGACACGAGGTCCTACTATAGCACATTTAGGGCCCCATAACACCAGCCAGCATGCCATATGTTCTCTATAACGCAAGCACTGGGGTTTTCTTATGTGCCCTTGCGTTGAGCCTGTGTTGGTCAATCCTGATCAACACAACCCAGTGCACCCGGTGTGAACATGCCATCAAGGCATTACAGGTTAAAGCCCTTACTGCTTCCATAATTCAACAAGCAGCTTCTGACAATTATATGAACACACTGTAATACTCCACTTATGGCTGCCTTAAGATCAGGGACATTTCTACTTCCTTCAAATCTAAGTACAGACTAACATTAGAAATGTGTATTTTGGAATTTACATGGATGGTAAAATAAACAAATTGTACTAAGCATATTGGGGGGAATTCATAAAAACTGGAGACAGAATCTGAAGCAGTTGACATATTAACCTTCCTGGCAGTATTCCCGAGTGTGGCTCGGGGGGTACATTTTCTGTACCAAAAGCGGTAACCCCGAGCCACACTCTGTCGTCTTCCGGGTTCCTTCCATGCGAGCGCCGGCATTGCAGGGGGCGGAACCGGCGAGAAATTCAAAAGTAAAAAAATATAGAGAAAAAAATACTGAGATAATCATACCGCCAGGGAGGTTAAAGACCTAGCTTATGACAAGACCTAACATTTTGACAACAGCACCAGAAACTATAGAACTGTCACTATCAGGCTGTTAGTACTGCTCTCCAAATCTTTATAACATACCTGAATCTGAGCTTGCACTTGCTGGGTTCCAGGTGCCTTCTGTGCCTGAGTTAATGAGGTTAAGAATTGAGTTTTAATGGCTGGCTGATTGGTATAGGTGACTTTTTGCTGCTGAGATGCAGTGGACACTTGAGGTGTGGTTATCTGGAGGGAGAGGTAAGGCTGAGCATTAAAAGCCCAGGGGAAAGCAGATAGGAAGAGATAAACGTGATCACTAATTAACCAATTAAAATACAAACTGTACAGCAATAACAAACATACATTCTAATTTGTTAGTATTTAGGGAGTCTATAGAAAGGACAATTTATCGGTTAACATAATATGTTCTTTGGATCTATAAAACTGAAACAAACAATGCATAGCAGTCTGAGATAAAAATCTGCATCATGTAAAAGTACGATACAATACTAAATAAAATGCTACAAACATTGCATACACTGAAATGCTAACATATAGATTTAACAGTAAACCCAACTAGCTAAATTCCATCAGTTTAAAGTCAGGTGCACCATAATCTTAGGTAAAGGAATACATTTACCAGCAAAGCCACTTACCTTCTGTTGTCCTATGGTAGCATGAGTCTGGAGAGCTTTTTGCTGCTGCGACTGCTGGGCAGTATGGTGTTGCTTCAGCTTCAACAAGGGTTGCATATGCAAAGGCTGAGCCATAACAGTTTGCCCACCTAAACACCATACCAAAGTATATGTTTTACTACAGAAAATGTTAGGAGACACAGTAGTAGTATGCAAGTCCAAGATGTCTTTAAACGAGTTTGTTCATTTTACTATATGTTGAAAACCAGAAGTGTGAGTAAGCTTACTAGTAGTACTACCAGCGACTCTTTAGCAAGAGGGAGAGGATTGATCACTTGTTTTTACCTTAGAGAAAAAGCACATCCTGCAGTAGTTGCTTCTACCCAATACTATGGGGCAGCTGATGGGAAGATGAGAGACCGCTTTTGTAGGTGATAAAACAAGATGTCCTTCCCTCATCTTCCCTTTAGCTCTCTCTCAAGGGAGGCAGAAACGGCTACTACAAAAATAAGACGCAAACCAAATTGCATCCAGACTGGAGGGCACTGTGTCTAAAGCTCCAGCAATTTACATAGGACCGTAAAATCCTTTTCTCAAAGTCCATTGAGGGACACAGCTCTGACGAATTCCGAGACATAGGGTTATGCTGATGCCTCCAGGAGAAATGGTTGCTAGGCTAAAAAAATAAAAGCCTGCCACTTTAAGGACATAACCCCAAAGAAACAAAAACTAAAATAAAGCAGAAAAGAAGAAGACATCCGTTCTTCTGAGGGCACTATGCAAAACTGCAAATGTGAGTTAGAAGGGGGTTATGTCCTTAAAGTGGCAGGCTTTAAAACATTTTGCCTAGTGTCCATTTCTTCTGGAGGCAGCAGCATAACCTTGTGTCTCAGAATTCTTCAGAGCTGTGTCCTTCAGTGGACAATAGAGAAAAATAATATAAACTTTAAGTTGGGTACACTATTGCGTGACAGAGTAATTTCAAGTCAAACTTTCTCAACACTGAAAACTGAAAAATGGCCTGGTAATGAAGTGGTTAAACTATATTTTTATTGTGCACTACATACTTGATTTCCACCGACTCACCACCATGAAGACATTTTGTGATTATTCTGTGCGATGTCAGACACGTTTACAACAATTAATGTGTATGTAAAGCCAAAACCATTTTACATTTTCAGTAGGGGAAGAATAGAACCTCTGTCAAGTTTTTATTGCTGTTTGTACCCTCGTTCATAGAGATTCACCCGATTTGTCCTGGTGACCATTGTCACTGAGACAGAAAGTGATGGGAAATCCAAAATTTGACAGTTGCCACCAGAAGAGCAGAGGGTTATTCTTCCTTTGAGGTCACGGTTGCCTAAGAGGAGAATTTCCCTCTCTTTCATTTCCTATTGTGTCTCTAGGAGAGGAAGCAACAGTAAATCTCCCCAAAGGGAAACATATGGATGCAGGAGTTTTAATCCTTCTCTACTCTAAACAAAGAGAACTAATACGGGTATACATACACTAAAAAAAAAAAACTCAGGAAAATATACATTATCAAATATTGAGAATATAATATTAAATGATACCATATGCAACAAATGTTTCCTATTAAACTATTCTACCTGCAACTTTCTGAGGCTGGTTGATGGAAACACTGATTCCTGCCATGGTCACTGGAAGGGTGGTGACGCCTCCAGATGAAACGACAGCTGATACCACAGGTGGTTTCGCCAGTGCAACTTGGGCTGTCTGCCCTGGTTGAGCTTGAAGCTGCCCCTGAGCCTGCAACTTGAAGAAAGACAAAAACATTAAAAAGGCATTCATCAGATCAAACAGTAGTGCCCTGAAGCTTTGTGTGTCCAGCTTGACTCTTACCAAGCGAGTCACTTGTAGATTTGTCATTGTGGTTCCAGTAAGGACAGCTCCTCCTCGAGAAGTAGTTACAGTTGCCAGCTGCTGTGCTTGCTGCGGCTGAACTTGCACTTGTGTGGTGGTACCTGCCAGTGTTCCGGTCTGCGACACTTGCTGAGAAAGCTGCAGCTTCTGCTTCTGCAACTTCATTAACTGTTCCTGCCAAAGAAAATTAATAGTTCAATAATGTAACCATATTTGGCTACAAACATTTAACCCCTTCATGACTGAGCCTGTTTTTCGTTTCTGTTTGTAAATGACTGACACACTTTTGACATTTTTGCTGTGTGATTCTTCCACGTCAGTAATATACTTTCTTACAAAGTGCACCCACACATATTATATATTGTTTTTTAGAGGACAGGTAGGGCTACATATTTATATCACATATGTGTGTCTAACGCCTCACTTAGGACAAATAAAATATAAAAAAAGAGGAAAAGAACATTAAAAAAAACACTTTTGTCCCAGTTTTGATTTGTAGTATTTTTTTTTTACAAAACCAGCACAGCTAAAAAAAATGCCATAAATACATTCATTTATTTGTCCCTTATTTTTTT